CTGGTCCCTGCCACTTTCACTGATTGTCCAGTTGTCTCTGTAACTCCAGCTGATAGTTTAGTTGTCCATGTCACTGTAGCTGATGGTCCACTTGAAGCTGTCACTCGAGAAAATGATCCACTTGAACCTGGAACACCACCAGATGGTCCACTGGTACCTGCCACTTCAATTGATTGTCCACTTGTCGCTGTCACTTCACCTGATAGTCCAGATGCCCCTGTCACTCTAGCTGATGGTCCACTTGAACCTGTCACTCCAGAAAATGGTCCAGTTGAACCTCTCACTCCAGCAGATGGTGCACTGTTCCCTGCCACTGTCGCCGATTGTCCAGTGATCCCTGTCACTGCAGCTGAAAGCCCAGTAATTCCTGTCACCTCAGCTGTCAATCCAGTCGAACTTGTCACTCCAGATGGTCCACTGGTCCCCGTCACTTTAACTGATTGTCCAGTGGTCCCTAGCACTCTGGCGGAAAGGACAGCTGTTTCTATCACTCCAGCTGATAGTCCAGTTGTCCCTGTCACTCCAGCTGAGAGTCCGGTTGTCCCTGTCACTCCAGCTGATGGTCCACTTGAACCTGTCACTCCAGAAGATGGTCCACTGGTCCCTGCCACATTCACTGATTGTCCAGTGATCCCTGTCACTCCAGCTGAAAGCCCTGTTGTTCCTGTCACTCCAGCTGTGAATCCAGTTGCCCCTGTGACTCCAGATGGTCCACTGGTCACTGTCACTTTAACTGATTGTCCAGTTGTCCCTGTCACTCTGGCTGAAAGTTCAGTTTTTCCTGTTACTCCAGCTGATAGTCCAGTTGAACCTGTAAATGCAGCAGATGGTCCACTGGTACCTGCCACTTTCACTGATTGTCCAGTGATCCCTGTCACTCCGGCTGAAATTCCTGTTGTTCCTGTCACTCCAGTGGTGAATCCAGTTGAACCTGTCACTCCAGAAAATGTTCCAGTTGTTCCTGTCACTCCAGCGGAGAATCCACTTGTCCCTGTCACTACAGTTGATGGATCACTTGAAGCTGTCACTGCAGATAATGTTCCAGTTGAACCAGTCACTCCAGCAGATGGTGCACTGGTCCATGCCACTTTCACTGATTGTTGAGTGATCCCTGTCACTGCAGCTGTGAACCCAGTTGAACTTGTAACTCCAGAAGGTCCACTGGTCTGTGCCAACTTCACTGATTGTCCAGTTGTCCCTGTCACTCTGGCTGAAAGTTCAGTTTTTCCTGTTACTCCAGCTGATAGTCCAGTTGACCCTGTAACTCTAGCAGATGGTCCACTGGTACCTGCCACTTTCACTGATTGTCCAGTGATCCCTGTCACTCCAGCTGAAATTCCTGTTGTTCCTGTCACTCCTGCTGTGAATCCAGTTGAACCCGTCACTCCAGATGGTCCACTGGTCCCTGCCACTTTCACTGATTGTCCAGTTGTCTCGTTCCAGTCCTCCCTGTCACTCCAGCTGAGAGTCTGGTTGTCCCTGTCACTCCAGCTGATGGTCCACTTGAACCTGTCACTACAGAAAATGGTCGACTTGAACCTGTAACACCAGCAGATGGTCCGCTGGTACCTGCCACTTTAACTGACTGCTCAGTTGTCACTCTAGCTGATGGTCCACTTGAACCTGTCACTCCAGCAGATGGTCCACTGGTCCCTGCCACCTTCACTGATTGTCCAGTTGTCCTTGTCACTCCGGCTGAAAGCCCCGTTGTTCCTATCACTCCAGCTGTGAATCCACTAGATCCTGTCACTACAGACAATTTTCCAGTCATCCCTGTCACTCCAGCTGAGAGTCCAGTTGTCCCTGTCCCTCCAGCTGATGGTCCACTAGATCCTGTCACTACAGAAAATGTTCCACTTGATCCCGTATTACCAGCAGATGGTGCACTGGTACCTGCCACTTCAACTGATTGTCCAGTCCTCCCTGTCACTCCAGCTGAGAGTCTGGTTGTCCCTGTCACTCCAGCTGATGGATCACTTGAAGCTGTCACTGCAGATAATGGTCCAGTAGAACCTGTCACTCCAGCAGATGATCCACTGGTCCGTGCTACTTTCACTGATTGTCGAGTGATCCCTGTAACTGCAGCTGAAAGCCCTGTTTTTCCTGTCACTGCAGCTGTGAACCCAGTTGAACTCGTCACTGCAGAATGTCCACTGGTCTCTGCCAATTTCACTGACTGTCCCGTGATCCCTGTCACTCCAGCTGAAAGCCCTGTTGTTC